ACACAATGTTCTGAGACCTGAAGTCTACTCATGATCTAAGAGGGCGATTTTCCCATCTTCTCACACTCCCATAAATAGGAGGCACAAAAATGGAATTGTATTCCATGATATTTCATCAGAATCTCTGGAAGAAGCAATATGTTAAAACTCTCCTCTTATCCAATAAGTTTTAAATGCTAGAAAAGACCTCCCTTCCCCTAGACAACAGTGACATTAGGCAGTGGTCTAGAGCAGGGGTCGGTAGTCCCTGTGCCAGCCACTCTGGTTCTGATAGTGAAGCTGCAGGGAAGCCAGCCACACTCTAGTTTATATCTCACTTTGGACTACTTTCTTGCTAGTGTGAGGTTGAGAAATTATGACAGACAATATAATACATGAGCCCTCTACATCCTCCATTTCATCTCACAGATTGCAAAGCCTAAAATATTTACACGCTGACCCTTTACGAGGACAAGTTGGACAACTCCTGGACAAATAAATTCACATTGGAGTTCAGGCAGAAATTAGTTCCAATTGCAACTCCATCATTTATAAGTCATGTCATCTGAAACAAAATCATTCACTCTGATGAGCCTCAGTTTCCCTTATTTGCAAAACCGAGATATCTGCACCTACTTAGCAGAGAGGGACACATAGTACCTTGAACACCTGTCAAAATTGGACAGCGTATTGTTTTCATCTTATATTGTTTTGCATTTCTACAAAACACTAAACACATCAGAATCATTTAAATATAAAAATAAAGATAGAAATCTTTAGCAAAAAGTATACCAAAGGTAGTACTCTCTAGCCCTAAATGTTTTTTTCATAAATGAATACTAAATTTGCAAGCCATGAAATGGAATTATGCAAATATTAGATTAGCTGGGACATTAGAGGTCACCTACACCAGATATTTACCCAGCACATGAGTCGAGCATGGCAACAGTCAGGAGCTCCTCCAGGACCAGCAGGTTACTCTCTCCATTGACAGGCAGCAGACTGCAGTGACGTCGAGGGTCAGGTCAGATAGATGGTTAAGAGTGATCAAGGGTTAACTGAAGGCATTCACCACCATGTTGAATTTTTCCAGTTCACAAATCTGGCATGATGATTTAAGACTTTGTTCTTAGGAAATCAGGAAAATTAATTTCTCAGGTTGCTTGAGCACTAACAGTGCATCTTTCCAAAATTTTATTGCAATTTTATCATTCTCTGGGCATGTCCTTAACATCACCAGAGAACAGGACTTATTGGGCTCAGAATCAGAATATGCTACTCTGAATTCCAGTCCACAATCTCTCACTGCAGTCATTGCAAGCAAGTCTCTACACTGCCTTAAATTTCAAATTTATAATCTGAGAAATGAAACTACAAATACTTAATCATGAGAATGTTGTAAATAACAAATGAGATACCATGCATAAAAAGGTGTTTACAAATCATTCTCTGCATGTTTTGATGATGATGATGATGACAATGTTGTTGTAGTGGAAATTACATGTGGAAAATGCAAATATACTCCAAAAATGCCAAAGTGGAACACAAATGTTAGCTATTTGTATGAAGCAGTATATAAAGTAAAACTGTTCACATTTCAGAAAGTTGAAAAGTCATATCAAAAGCCTTCTAATTATCATAGCCCACAGCAACATTTCTCATGTTAGATAAGAATTGGAGAAACCCCAGAGGTTCACTAACTGGTAAGTGGATAGATAAGTGTGGTAGGGCTGAGCTGTGAAATACAACTAGCCAATATAATGAAATAATAATAAATACAATAGCATGGCTGAATCTCATCACATGCTTGAGTGAAGGAAATCAGAAGGCTGTGTAATGAGTAATTTTATATGTTTTCCAGGCTAGGTTATGCCACAGAGCTGTAGGGTTTTTTTAGATGTATTGGTACTGGGTGTTGAACCCAGGGCCACATAGCTCTATCCTCAGTCATTTTTAATTTTTTTTTTTAATTTTGAGACAGGGTCTCAGTTTCTGGGGGCCTTGCTAAATTGGTGAGGCTGGCAGTCCTCCTGCCTCAGCTTCCAGAGCCTTTGGAATTACAGGTGAATACCACTGCACCTGGCTAGATTAGTAATTAAATCCACTGGCCTTGAATAAGGAAAAAAAAAAAGAACTACCCATGATGTGGGTAGGCTCAGGCAATCATCTGAAGACTTTTAAAATGAAAGACTCAAGTTCTCCCCCAAAACAAGGAATTTTGCCTCCAGACTGACTTTGGTCTCAAGAATGCATTAATAGCTGTTATCAGAATTTCCAACTTGCTGGCCTGCTCTGTGAATTTCAGATTCAGCAAGCTCCATAACCAAACACACACACACACACACACACACACATCCTGTTTTTCTGCAGAATGTGCCTAAAATGGATTGCAAATCACTTACTACCACTTAGGTGAAACTCCAGAAAGATTAAAAGAGTAATGACAGAAAGCATATCAGTTGTTCCCTCAGCCAGGGGCATGAGAAACGTTAGGATTACATGATTGTATGAATGACGAAGTTCATCAGACTGTACATGTATACAAGTACCTAAGATGGGTAAGCTCTATTGTACCTGAAATCAGCTCCACAAAGGTGTCTGAGTCATATTACAAGTCACATAGTAAACTCTAATGTGATTTTCTTGCATATCATTGGTGAAATTTAAAAGTATTCTGCATAGCTTTGTTTTTTGTGTGAATTTAGGTGCACAAGCACCCACTGAACCATGCTGTTGATACCTACTGTGCATGCCCAAGGTGAGCAGACACTGACTAATACACCTGTCACATGGAGCCCTGGGTAAATCACATATTCGTTATCATGAACAAGTTAATTCAAGGCATAATACTAATAAATTACATTCACTAAAACTATTACTTCATTCACTTCTGATTTATATACTGCCTCTCTCTTGAGTAAATGAGAATTTTTATGTGACAATAAAAACTTAATAACTAATATATCAGTCCATAGTAAACATCATCCAAAGGCAACTGGGACAAAAATTAAGTTCCTTAAATATCAAAGAAGGACAACAACAGCAAAAATAAAAGGGTTTATAACTTGAAAAGTGGCACTTGCGTTATCAGCCCTCTTCCCTGGCTCGGCAAGCATTTTACAGCAGTTCCAAGTTATCACCAAGAAATCATACGCCCAGGACAAAGTGTTTGACAATGAACCTGAGGAGAAGATAAGCAGCTGAGCCCTATTTCAAGCTCCACCTCTGCTCTCCAGGTGCCCTTTTGTCTCAACAACTCCATGATAACAAATTGGCCTACCCTTAGATAGCCAGCAAATTTCCTAGATAGGAGCCAACTACCAGTATCTCTGAGGGCACAGTGAATAATGATCCCTTGTGAATCAAGGCCCAAGGGTCCTCCTGCCACACACAGCTGAGCCCACCTACCGCTACCATGCAGTTGGCACTGATCGAAAGGTCTATTCAGAACATAAGGAAATATCAGAAATGGAGCATTTTACCATCTAAACATGCCCAGCCACCAGCAAATGGCATGAAGTCCCCTCTCCTCGTTGGCAGCATGGAGTGACAGTGGACAAGCAGGTTCTAGAGACACATCTGGATTTTAACAACCATCCTGAGTTTTGATCTGTGGAGCCTTACACAGTTTGATCTCAGTGAAACTCAGGTTTTTAAATTTGTAGGGTATGAATAATCATACCGACCGTGCACAGTGGTGGTAAAGTTTAAGTGATATCTGTAAAGGCTCTGCATTTACTACCCGGCATGTTGTAAGACCTCCGAGATACTGAGAGATACTATAATTACTTTCTCCATCTTGGAAATCCATTCCTTCTGCTATGATAAATTTTCTGAGTAACTTGTGAACAAACAGAAATTTATTCTTCACAGTTCTGGAAGCTGTCAACTCCACGACAGAGGTTCTAGCCGATTCAGTGTCTGCTGTGGGCTGCTCTCTGCTCCCAGCTGTCTTGTTGCTGCCTCTTCCAGAGGGGATAAACATTGTCCATACAGGGAGGAGGACCCAAAATAGATGAATTCACCCTCTCACACCCTCATCCCATCCATAAGGACAGTATCCATCCCCATCACCTACCTCTTAATGCTATCACTGTAAGAATTAAGTTCCAGGACATGAATTGGAGGGATTGGGAAGGGTATGTGCATTCAAATCATAGTTTTCCCTTAAAAAACAAAGTATGTTTGGGCTGGTGTGGTTTCTGAGAAAATTGCCATTCTCTTAAAACACACTAAGTTTCAGGTAAGGTCACTGTAATATTGGACAATTTTATATGAAGATGTGCAGAGTAACATCTGCCCCTCCTGGAGGAGTCCAGCATAAATCTCCCCAAATACAGAGCTTTATTTTGGAAACAGAACCAACTATCTCATATATCTCTCAACACTGGTCCCCCAGTACACCAATCTAAACTTTCATTTTCAAAGACACTAAATCAATAAATGCCCCACAAAGCTTGCTACTGAGCTTACTCCTAATATAAGAAAACTTGAGAGGGTTGACAGGTGTCAGTAGATGCTGATTGATTTTTTTTAGGAGACATATTAAAAAATGAGGGTACCAATTTATTTTCTCTGCTCATAACTGCATCTCTTTCGGATGCCACTTCGATGGCTCAAGATTTCTGAATATTTCTATTTTGCTATGATTACTCTTTTTCTTTCTAAGACTAATAATGATCATTATTTCCCAGTTGATATCAGTTATGTTTTTATCTTCCACACTGACACCGATTCTGAGGGTCTATTCCCATTTCCTCAGGACCACTTCAATCTCCTTCACTGGAGTTAAAGGTCTTCTCGCACAGTATCCACAATATTAGGAATAAAAGCAAATCACAATATCATGTTTTCTTTATAAAGATACTAAGTTATGTCATGAAGTTTCTTTTAAAACTGTGCACAGTAATGTGTAAATGTGATGCTTATTAGCACATATTTTTCTGAATCTTTGTGTAACCCTAAAATTCATATGTTGAAATTCTAACCCTCAAGTTGAGAGTATTAAGAAGGGAATATCTTGGAAGTGATTAGGTCACGGGGATGGAGCCCTGATTTACAGAATTAGAGATCTTACGAAAGTAGCCAGAGAAACCCCCTTGCCTTTTGCAGCGTGTGCAGACCCAGCAAGAAATCCTCATCCATGAGCCAGGAAGCTGGACTTCGTTAGGTGCCAAATCTGCTGATAGCTCGACTTGGACTTTTCAGATTCCAGTCCTGTGGAAAAAAAATTAATTTTTGTTGTTTATAAGCCACCCACTATATGACACTTATTTATAGCAACCCACAAGGACTAAGGCATAAATATACTTCAAGCTATCTGAGGATGAGAAGATGGTCCTTCGTGGGTTCCCAGCACTAGCAAAATACCTGGCACAGACTAAGTGTTCAATAACCACGGGATGGAAGAATGAGTAAGCCACGTCTCACACAAATGCTGAGGGATGACAGAGACGGAAATCACATTTTCTTCCTTCAAAGGAGAGATTTTTGGAGAATGAGGAGTTTAAAATGAATTCTCAATTGCTCAATTCCTTTTTCTATGCTACAATTTCTATGAAGAACCCCCAAGAAGCAGTTAAAAGCCTAAAGCTGGCTTGTGTCTTGGGTCACTAAGTTAAGGGGCGATCAGTATGAAGAACCAAAAATACTTTTTTTGTTGTTTTCCCTTTCCCTGAAGAAGGAGTAGAAACCAAGATAACTAATCAGGAAAGTCTTCTGTAAGTGAAATTCATAGACAATAAAGTAATGTGGAACTCAGATAACATTCTTTAACTTGGATAATTTAATAGCCAAGTTGTACCTTGTTGGAAAGTTCTTACATTCCCCAGTGTTTAGGATCTGGACTTTTTAGACTGAGTTGGACAAGACCATTCCTGTTTGTTTCGTGGCATTTTTAACGCTTCACATGATGGTGTCCTAGACTTGGTGCCACAGAAGCAAATCCAGCAGAGTTCACCTCAACTGGACAGAAAAAGAAAATCAGCACCCCGCCCCCACTAACCCCTGCAGTACGCCTCGTGTCTGTCTTAGCCAGTGCCTCCCTTGCTGCCAAATTGAGATAGCCTGATAAATTTGGGGTGTGAATCTAAGGTCACATTAAATTAAAAGTACAAATACTTTAATCTGGGGTCTTTAGTTTGTTTTTAATTGACTTTTAAGAGCCAAGCATAATTTAAGTGCTAATTATGAAAAAGAATATTTATTGCTTTCTTATTCTTATCTCCCAACAGTCTATTTGTAATGGTAGCTTTTACATAGAAGGCCAACAAAAAGTTTGAAAACTAATGACAAAAATATGTAGAAACACCAAGAGGTTGAGCATGTGAATAGAAAATGAGTTTGAAAATACTGAAGAGCTAGAACTTTATTCTTGGCATAGCAACTAAGTTTTTTCTAAGGTCATTGCTACAGACAACCGATATTCTGGAGGGATTATTTGCTGGGAAGAGTCTTTGGGATAGAGTTATAGTAGTGTTTAATGATGTTGACAGTGTTATTTTATGGTAAAAGGAACTGAGGAATTTTACCTTTGACTTTACATTTTATCCATTTTTTTTTAAATCTGAACAGTAAAACCTAATTTTAAAGTTGGAGCACTATATCACGGGGTGTGTTATAACATGGGGGTGCACCTTGCTGTTTCCCTGGCACTGGTGAGGATAACCACACTGAGACGTCACTTTCACTTGGGTCATTAGAAAAATAAACCACGTAATTTCAGTGTTTAGTCAGTAAATGAATTCCATAATACTCAGACACTAATTTTCTAAGGGGCCATTTGGATTCTTTTTTATTTATTTATTTTTTTAAATAAAATAGAGCCAAGTCCCCAAGCTCTGCTGGTCCCAGGTGAACCTCAAGGTTGCCATCTAGATGGGCCATGGTTACTGCAGGTGGGATTCTGTCAGATTCCCTGGCTCTGCAATCCGAGTTTCCACCGATCACTAACTACCTGAGGTTATTTTTGTTTTAGTTCCAGACACCAATTTCATGCTACCTTTGAATGTTCACAAGAAAGTTTGCTGTTTCTTCATACACTGTAACACTGCATGTGTAATTAACAAACTTACTCATATGTGACAATACGTCTTTGAGATGCCATCGGTGAGCTTCTGTTTGACTTGGTTTTGCCCTAGGAGAACCTGCTCAACCAGTTGTACCAAATCCCAAGAAGAATGTTCCATGACACAAAGAAAGTACTGTGATATGGGACTAGATAGGTAATTACAAGATAATGGAGAAGTTTGTCTTTCGTTGTGAAATGACATAAATTAGAAATAGAATGTGTGGTTACTGATCACAGACGCTCTCTCACAGTGGAACTTGTAAGAAAACAAAGAGCTTTCGGCTTACCTAAAGGGGCATTCAAAAAATGCTCAGCTTGAAACCCAAGCTAATGAAAACAAGGAAATGTGCAGTTCAGGCCGACTTCCAATACCTGGCTCAACAGGGTGTCCTCCAGACCACTTCCTATATGTGTCCCTTTGAGTCCAGGACGGGAGGTCAGCTTGAAATGTGGATTTCCTTAATATGCATTTCTTTCACCACATTAATGTACTCTGAATTGTACTTTGAGACCTTCTTGTTTGTGCATTTAATTTCCTCTCTTTAACAATATTGGTATGACCCTGGTAGGACAAGCTCCTACAACTGAGACTCCATTATCGCCAAGTGTTGCTTTAGTTTTAGTCCCAAGCTTGGTGATGGCCTTTGCTCTGTTACCAAATAATACTGGTCACTTTGAATGGAGCCTTCCGGAGCAGCATCTTCATAGGATGTTTCTCTCATACTAATTAACACACAATTTATTTTATGAGGTTAATATAGTTTTTGAAGACTTTTTTCACTCTTATGCTACTGGTTCAAAGACAAGGTCAAGAAAGATAGCTTCTGTGGGAAATTACTAATACGATCTACAAGAGAAGGTCTTTCCCAGCTGTCTTTGTTGAGTTGGAAGGGCAACTCTGTGGCCGTGGGAGAAAACTATGCTGTCTTTTCCATGACCGCCATTCAAAACGCCTCCCTGTAGATAGATCTGCTTCCTCAGCTGCATCTCAGACAGATCACAGGATGTTTCTGGCCGCTCTCAGGTAAGGAAAGTCCTTATTTTTTTTTAGTGTTTTTTGGTGATAAAAAATACTTCAAGTTTACAACTTAATTGTCCAGACCAGTGTTAATCATCAAAATTCTGAATTTCCCTTGGAGTTAAAATTTCTCTCCTGGTTCTTCTCCACCCTCTGCCTGTGGAGATCTGCACTGGGAATGGTTGAGTTCTCCTCTACAGCAACTTCTTCTCCCACGTCTTCACTAGGCGGCCATCTGCCTCTGCCCAGGCTGGAGTGGGCTGGGGAAGGAGAGGAGATCTAAGGGGTCTGTGGGCGTTCGACTTTGCTCTCTAGACTTTAGGGATCACGGAATGCATTTGTGAGTTCCCTGTAGACACCTTGTCAGTCAAGAGGTCTCGTTTGGTTTCTTTAATGAGCTCGAGATCCTTCCTCTGTCTGTCACTGGACCACAGGCGGCATCTGTGTGGGTGACACCCTGCAAGCTCTTTCTGTGGCCGTGAGCACTTCTAGGTGGGTGGCTGATGAAGACCCTGGGACTGGTTCCTTCCCCACGGCTTGCCGCTGGTCTCCAGATCTCGGGGTAGCTGTGGCCTTTCTCTAGGATGAATTTTCAAGGCCTAGCCAAAAATGAGAGTTCAGGGCCTTCTGTTAAAAATGATTTGATATTTCAGGATGGAGACAAACGAACACGAAACCAAGGTGGGCCCTTCTAAGCATGGTGCCCCACCTGACTGCCAGGTGGAGGCGGAGGTCTCTCTCGCTCCACACTGGAACCCACAGCCTCTCCTCATCTTGGCCTCGCAGGTCTTCAGCAGCACCCCATGATATTTCCTCAGGCAGAAGCGGTGCCTTGGAAGTTGTGCTGGACAACAGAAAGTCGGGGACCACCCCAGTGCTCCGTGAGCAGGATCGGGGAGGCAAGGGGGGAGTTCCCACTTTCTCCAAGGACATCTCATGACCTCATCAGCATCATGATGTCACTGTAGGGGAGAAAAAGTAACATCACTCCTCTAAAGATCGATGACCGAGGCGTCATGAGAAAACACAGATTAACAAACAAAAAGCCAAATAAACTTATTTTATATAAAGCTTACCTGATGCAGGAGCTGTAAAGAAACAAGAAAAACTCTACATGTTTGTGCTTAAGTTTGACGGACAGAGGGCAGTCACGAGGAAGAGCAGTCCAGTGACAAGGGTTGGGACCTTGGCAGGTTCTGCTTCACGTCTCGGTTCCCCATTCCTCTCTTTCTGGTATGGGGGGATCCCTCTGGAAAAAGGATCTTCCAGCCTGGTTAGAGGGCCCGAGAAGTCTCCCACTGTCTTCTGCAGGGAGGAGAGATGAGGGGAGGGTGAGAGAGACCTCCAGCTGCTGCAGTCTCCTCAGATGCCACGGTGCCATGCTGTGGCAGAGAAAGCCCTGAACCTTGTCTCCCCCTCAAGGTGTCAAGGTGAACCCCTCACCGTCCGGGAACAACTGGGGGTCTGTGTACCAGAGCTGACACCATATTTTAGGAGTGACCCACTCATTGCCCCTTTACCACTGGCCCACATAGAGGCCACCAGGATCCTCTGGGGTACAGGGCCCGCCCCAAGGCAGGCGGTGCTCAGCCTTCCCCTGACCAGAGGGAAAGACCGGCAGCGGGAGTTTGGAAGTGCTGGCCCCCCGACACTCTGTCCTCATAAGAGAGGAGAGATGGGAGTGGACGGAGGCCACAGCTGCCACCCACACGTTACCACAGAAGTGAAACTCAGGAATGGAAACAGAAAAAAATGTTGACCACTGACCATATCTTTTGAGGCCTTGCATCCAGCCACTACAGTGATGTTAAATTAAACCAGCCCATGGATTTCCCTTTTGCTGAAGCTAATTTGAATTTGGCCTCTGTAATTCACAACTGGAAGTCTTAATTATTAAACTTGCCAGTACTGATCATTCATTGTACATCATCTCATTGTACATCATGAGGTCATGTGGTAGATGATGGTGACAAAGTGATAAAGTATTCAACTTCCTTTAAGACATATCCCAATGAATTAATGTGAACAGTGAGTATGATTCATGATTCGATGCTGATAAACAAATTAGAATGGTCTCACTTGCAAAGCATCTAATATTTTCATAGAACTTTAGTAATATGCACAACTTTTTAAAGAGTTGCTTTTAATGTTTTCTTTAAGTTATGGGTATGACATGAGTAACTGTCATTTTTAAACAAGAAAAATAAAAATGAAGTAAAGAAAATATTGTTAGCAAAAATTAACAGAGTATTTAAAAACTTGACCTTCCATTTCTTCCCACTCAGTGGAACTCATATATTAAGGGGAAAATAAAGAGGACTTTGTTTCATATTTTCTGTCCATCCAAGACACCGATATTCATACATAATCTTTTCTTCATTAGTGCAAACACTTCCCTGAATGAAAGCAAAGTCAAACACAACAAATAGAACACAAAAGTCAGGAAAAGGTTGTTCTTAAATACCAGCGTCAGCATATACGAGGCTGTGTGCTCAGAAACATCACTGCCCTCGACATTCATTTGGCTACAAATTGACATTCGATTTTCGTTATGTTAAAAACAAAACTGGAGGAGACCACAGGGGTAGGGATACTTTTTTGAAATGTTCTGCAGCTGCGATTATGAATTGCACTCCCTTTGAAGTGCAGAATTAACAGCTGAATGACACACCTCCAAGGGGGCCCAAAGGTGGCCAGGGCCTGCTAACTGCAGTGTAGAATGTGAACACCTCCAGAGGTGGGGCCCATGGCGCTGGCCGCATCCCCATCTGGGGCTGATTTCTCCTGCCATTAGTCTGCAAGCATCTTTGAAGTCAAAGGATTTTTGAGGGAAGATGGAGAAAAATTGCTGCAGGATAATGGCCTGGGGGAATCCTGGCAAGTTGCTCTAGAAACAAAAAAAAACAAAACAAAAAAGAGGGTGAGCCACCACTGAACTGGGATTTAAATGCAGTATTTTCCCTATGAAAACACTAAAGCTGCCTGTTATCTGTCTATATCTCCATGTATGTAGCCAAGATAACCATTTTGGAAGTATTTCCTCAAAGAGCAGAGGAAAAACTAAGTGCTGTGGATTGGATGCATTCTTATAAGGGTTACAACAGCAGAATAATTAATGGCAATGGCATGATTAATTATCAAGTTGGCTGAAGTTTCACAGTCTCTTCCTGCCGGTCTGCCCCGAGTACACAAATTACCAGAAAGGGAGCTGGGGAATGCCCAAATCCCACTGGCCACACCACTGCTTAACTCCCCAGGACCCGTCCTGCCTGCAGAACACAGGCCCAGGCTCCTGGCATGGTGACCAGATCTATCCAATGTCCTACCTTGCCTTTCTCTTCAACCTCATATCCTGACACATCACACCCCCACACTTACACACCTACACACGTGTGCGCACACACACATACTCCCAGTCCCACCAAGCTCAACAGCTAGCAGTTGGACCTTTGCACATGTGTTTTCCTCCAACCTGGTGGTCAGCAGATGTTTTCTGTAACAGGACAAGCAGTGATTATTTGGGGCCACTAAACTAGACAGGTTCTGCTGCAGTACCCTGCTGCTGAACATAATTGAGTGAATGAGGCTATTTTCCAATAAAACTTTACGTATAAAGGTTAAAATGTGAGCTTCATATAGTTCATGTGTGTCATGAAATACTATCTCTTTTTCCCTGCCATTTAAATATGTAAAACAAAATTTTTTTATTGATTTTTTTAAAAAATAAATGATAGTGGAATGCATTACAATTCTTATTACACATATACAGCACAATTCTTCATATCTCTGGTTGTATATAAAGTATGTTGACACCAATTCAAGTCTTCATACAAGTACTTTGGATAATGATGTCTACACATTCCACCATCCTTGTTAATTCCCTCCGCCTCTTTTTCCCTCCCACCCCTCTGCCCTATCTAGAATTCATCTAATCCTCCCATGCTTTCCCTCCCTACCCCACTATGAGTCAGCTTTCTTATATCAGAGAAAACATTCGGCATTTGTTTTTTGGGGATTGGCTAACTTCACTTAGCATTACCTTCTCTAACTCCATCCATTTATCTTCAAATGCCATGATTTGTTGATTGGGTTATTTGATTTTGGTGCTTAGCTTTTTGAGTTCTTTATATAACCTATCTGATGTGTGAGGGGTAAAAATTTGCTCCAAGGATGTATGCTCTCTATTTACCTCATAGATTGTTTCTTTTGCTGAAAAGAAACTTTTTAGTTTGATTCCATCCTATTCATTGATTCTTTGTTTTAATTCTAGTGCTATAAGAGTCTTATTAAGGAAGTTGGGGCCTGATCCCACATGATAAAGATTAGGACCTACTTTTTCTTCTATTAGATGCAGAGTCTCTGGTTTAATTCCTAGGTCCTTGATCCACTTTGAATTGAGTTCTGTGCATGGTGAGAGATAGGGGTTTAATTTCATTTTGTTGCATATAGATTTCCAGTTTTCCCAGCACATTTGTTGAAGAGGCCATCTTTTCTCCAATGCATATTCTTGGCACCTTTGTCTATATAAGATAATTGTAATATTGTGGGTTAGTCTCTGTGTCCTCTATTCTGTATTATTGGTCTACCAGTCTGTTTTGGTGTCAATGCCATGATGTTTTTGTTTCTACTGCTCTGTAGTATAGTTTAAGGTCTGGTATAGTGATGCCATCTGCTTCACTCTTCCTGCTAAGGATTGATTTAACTATTCTGGGTCTCTTATTTTTTCAGTTGAATTTCATGATTGCTCTTTCTACTTCTGTGAAGAATGCCATTGGGACTTTGATCAGAACTGCATTAAATCTGTATAGTACTTTTGGTAGTATGGTCGTTTTGATAATATTAATTCTGCCTTTCCAAGAGCAAGTTAGATCTTTCCATCTTCTAAGGTCTTCTTTGATTTCTTTCTTTAGGGCTCTATAGTTTTCATTGTATAGATCTTTCACCTCTTTTGTTCAGTTGATTCCCAAGTATCTTTTTTTTTTTTTTTAGATTATTGTAAATGGAGTAGTTTTTCTCATTTCCTTCTCAGAGGATTTGTCAGAAAAACCTTTGATTTATGGGTGTTGATTTTATACCCTGCTACTTTGCTGAATTCATTTACTAGTTCTAGTGCAAAAATTTTCCATAAAATTCTGGCAAATCGAATACAAAAACATATCAAAAAGATTGTGCACCATGATCAAATGGGATTCATCCCAGGGTTGCAAGGTTGGTTCAACATACAGAAATCAATAAATGTAATTCATCATATCAATAGACTCAATGATAAGAATCTTATAATCATCTCAATAGATGCAGAAAAATCATTTGACAAAATACAGCACCTTTACATAGGAATAACAGGAACATATCTCAACATCGTAAAGACTATCTATGCTAAGCCTCAGGACAACATCATTCTAAATGGATAAAAATTAAAGGCATTCTCTCTAAAAACTGGAACAAGACAGGGATGCCCTCTTTCATCACTTCTATTCAACATAGTTCTTGAAACACTGGCCAGAGCAATTAGACAGAAAAAAGAAATTAAAGGGTTTTGTATAGGAAAAGATCAACTTAAATTAGCTCTATTTGCTGATGATATGATTTTATATCTAGAAGACCCCAAAAGCGCCACCAGAAAACTTCTAGAAGTAGTAAAACAATTTCTAGCTCCCACACCACACAAAGTTGGCCGTGACACTGGGCCGGATTTGGTCTGGGGCCTTCCTTGCCGACAACATTCCCCCTGCATTACCTTGGTGCACATATCTGCCCAGATGCTCTTTTTGAAGACTGGGAGCCGTCCAGGACCGAGCACCCTCCACCATGGCCATATAAATCCATCTCACTGATGTCACTTGTTTCAATATCTTAAACCATTTCCCCCAACCAGGAAAATCTTTTCTAAGCCTACCAAGGCCTCAAGGTGTGTCGGGTGAATAAAGGGTAATATGAAGAAAAGGGACATAAGTTTCCATACTCCTTTCTCTTCTCCTTCTAAATACCTCCTGGGTGGCACTCCTCTGTGGATAAAAGGCATCAGGTACAGCAGGAGCAGGAGACAGTCTGCCTGGGAAATCGCAGCCCTGTCGGCCTGGAATCCCGGTTCTCTGTCAATGATAGTGACTAGTGCAACCTGCACCAGGGTGGGGCTGGCAGGATTCATCCCACAGACATTCCAGGCTGTCGGTGTCGGGATCCAGCTGGGCACAAGACAAAGAGCCTCCCTTCCCTGAGGACTTCAGGGCCAGGCTGGTCTCATGAGAAAGTGCAAGTGAAGCTCTGAGCAGAGGAGGCCAGTGCTACA